CCTCCCCAACCCACCCCCGCCAATCACACAAAGAAATATGGCAAACTTTTAAACCAACGATGAATTTATTGTAGAGGTGCTTTCTTACGTTAATAAGAGAAGGGTTTGACAATAGAGAGTAGCTTCACTCCAAATATACACAGAAGTACAGAAAAGTTATCATAGATAATATCCTGAGTGCATGGACAAAACTGCTAAATCAGAAACTTATCTTTCGGCCACCTAAATTCATCCTTCTGCATTCAGCCTTTGCATTCAGCCACCTACATTCGGCCTCTTGCACTTGGCCACCTGTATTCAACCTCCTACAATCAACCTTTTAAATTCATCCTCTTGCACTCAGCCAGCTACATTCGGCCTTCTTCTTTCGTTCAGCTGCATCTTCCAAAAAATTATCTTTCCTAAGAGAGTTCACCCAAAATTATCTTCAAAGAAATAGTTTGTCTAAGAGAAGAGAAATTACGATGTAGTGGAGCTAAGGAACAAGAAAATCTCTAATATTAGGAAAAATCTCTCAGAACTCTCTCTCTTTTTTATTACATTGTGTTTAAGCTTTTTGTTAACTCCTTTAATGTATATATAACGAGTAATAAAAACATTGCTTGTTATATAAAATGAGTTTGTCGATTAGACTCATGAAAATTCTGCTCATAAACGAGTTTCCTAAGTATAAGAGGAAGACCGCTTAAACTTTTGGACCGTAGTTCGCTCAATGTATAAATGCTAAGGACGAACTTGTACAAGTTCATTTCAAAATATAACTTGAACACACAAAGGATGAAGTATGTTAGCTTAGAGACTGAAGCCAACGAGATTATAGCCTAGATAAAGTTAAGAAATTAAGATGATTACACCATTTATGAGAGTCACCTCCTCAAGTGAAGGATATTAAAAATTTAATAAGATTGTATAACTAAGTCATATTGTAAGAAAACATTCAAACTAATTGCACAAAAAGAGGAAATTCCTTTAACTGGTAATATTTGGGTAACTCGCCCTATAAAATTATCGAGTCAACATTAATAAAAAAATTAAAGGTGTGCCAAAATTTTTCTGGTAAGTGTAGCGAAAGTTTGCCTGACGAAAAGTCAGCACAAAGAGAAATACACTACTCATTTTTACTTTAACATTTTTGTACTCATTTTTGAAAAAAACAAATATTACTTCTTATGAATCTATTCTTTAGATCAGGGCATATACACTTGTCTTACTGAGATGAGCAACACATAGTTTCATATTATCATTCTCTTTTTCTTTTCACAATTATTTTTTAAGGAGATAAACGAATCAAGAAACTAAATATGTATGATTAAAATTCTCTAAACAAGGAATCTATCAATTGCCCGCTTGCATTCGACCTACTACATTTAGCCTTTTACACTTGATCTCCTGCATTCGACCACTTGCAATTTTTTAGAAATAGCTCTGATAAGAGTGTTCTCTTATAACAAACATTATAGTGTAGCTCTTCTAGAGAACTCATCCATGACCAAACAGACCAACTAGATAACGGGTATGACATACAAGTATACGGAGTAGAAAGTTAAGCGTGGCAAAAGATGGAGTTAATATAAGAAAAAAATACCACATATAATATCATTTATACACCCGACACAATAAAGAACATATCCAAGCAATAAAAAATTCTAATATATATATATAATTATAACTTACTATTTTTTATTGAAAAAATATCCTTATTAAAGAGGGGAAAGTTAATGTAAGAGGGTGCTTCTTCCTCTTTCATCAGACATCTTTTAGATTATTTAAAACAACCATTTCCCTACTCTCTCTCTCTCTCTCTCTCTCTCTCTCTCTCTCTCTCACTCTCTCTCTTCTATATGCTCACTTTCCCCTCATTTTGTTATGATATATTTCTTAAGTGTTGTTTAATGACAAAAGAGATTTAACACTTAGGTCTACAATAACGTAGTTTAATTGAATTAAGAAAATAATTAATTAGTAATTATTTAGATAGTTTAATGGTTACTTTAAATATTATTTGTAGTAAAATTGAGGAGTATGTGCAATATAATATATCATATTTTTTTTTATTTTAAAGAAAATCTTCCACTGATTTCATCTGAACACGTAAGGCTTCATTACATGCATATTTTATTACAATATAAATCTAAAAGTTCATCTACTATTTTGATATGCACATACATTATTTCATTAAACAGATTTATAATACTCCTCAATTTATAGTTATTATGTGTCGGCACTATTTTTGGTGTGGGGTTTGCCCGTAAGAAGTTGTCGGTCATCGGAATTGAAATCCCGTTGCCCGCTTCGGAAGGACGTTTTAAAAAATTTAGTTTTGAAAAAGATGAAGTCAAACTGACCCCATAATTTTCATAGTTTAGATGAAAGAGCGCTTTACCTCAAATGTTGTATCTATCCCGAAGGATGAACACAAGAATTGAGGGTAAGGCTCGATCAAATAAACTAAAGAAAATTATGACATCCGTTTGGTCTGCGAAACCAATGTATTGGCCGACAAATTCCCCTATTTAATATAAGGAATTAAATAGGGTTTATATTGTGCTGGGTTCGGGATAAGCTTCCTATAGGGGCAAGCCCCTATAGTTAATTACATCTTAGATAACTGAAGTTACCTAAGAATACTCTCGATAAAAGTCAAGAAAAATTACCTTCAAGGAGTTCAAATGGTAACGACATCTCAAAGATATTGGACTAAGAAGTGTGAAGGGGGATTGGTTCAAATTTAAAACATTTTGTTTTAGAGTCCAAAGGAGGAAACACTAGAAGATGTCACGGATTCGAAGGAAAACTTCGGTGACTTCCTAAGCTATCCTATTATTTGGCTTCAATTTAGGAGAAATCA